GCTTCAGTGGTGGATAAATGTATATGGGAGGTGGGGATGTAGACCGATGCCCTTGCTGCTGTAACGACAGCAGACCCTGGGTGCTGGCGGTGCTGCCTTGTACCAGTGTTGTTCACGCTCCTTCCTTCCTTCCTTCCTTCCTTCCTTCCTTCCTTCCTTCCTTCCTTCCTTCCTTCCTTCCTTCCTCCTTCCCTCCCTCCCTCCCTCCCTCCCTTCCTTCCTCTTTCTTGTTGCAGTACTGGGGACCTGGGCCTGACACATGCTGGGCAAGTGCCCTACTGCCAAGCTACACCCCAGTCTTTTCTATTTTGAGATGGGGTCTTGTCACATTTTTCAGGCTGAGGCAGGAACTGTTATCCCACTCTACAGATAAAGAAACTGAGGCATGGATGGGCTGTGCCACTCACCTGGGGCAAGGAACAGGGTTGGCCTCTGAACCAGAGTTCTGACCACCAGCAGGGTTGAGGGCAGTCCAGGCCAGCCCCTGGAGGGGGGGCAGTCCAGTGTATAACAGCTCAATGGCCTGGTTTTGCTTGGGCACAGATCGGCAACCAAACAACACTTATGAGGTATCAGGCCCTTGGGGCACAGAGACTGGACCCCACGTAGTTGGGAGCGATCCATAAGCAGAGTTGGGGTGGCTGGTGCCAGCCTGAGGTAGCTGGTTTTAGGGGGCTTTCCCTGGACTGGCAGCTGGAGGCTGAGGGCAGAGCAGGCCAGGCCCAGGTGGCTGGGGAGGGCGGCTGCTCCGGGGAGGGGGAGCCGGGCACAGCATGGGGGTGGAGCCAGCAGCTGGCAAGCTAAGAGCCAGGGAGTGGCAGGGGGCCAGGGCACTGCAGAGATGCGAAGGCAGGTCACAGGCCTGGGGGGTGGGGCACCTGCCCTGATCCTTCTCCAACAGGAAGCTGCATCCTCAGACCTGGCTCTGAGTTCCCTCTGAGAACCTTCTAGATTCATCGTTTGCATTGGATGAGGATTTAAAGTGGAACACAAAGGGGTGATCTCTGGGTCAGCTGGTTGACCACGGTGTAGGTCCTGCTAGACTAGTCCTCATTGGCCATAAGGGCACCACATGTCCAGCAGCATCTAGGGAGATCAGAGCAGAGGGGCTCCATGCTTGAGGGGTACCCCTTGGGGCTGCAGAAGCCAGGCCAGGTGACACCTGGCCCCTCTGTCCAGGAGCCAGGGAGAGAAACTCCGGAGTTCAAACAGAGCAAACCTAGGAGGCTGGGTTAGTGCAGTGTTGGCCCCAGGATGCTTTGCTGGGTAGGGAGATCATACACAGGGGTGACGGGGCTGGGGCACACGAGGTATATCACCTCACCTGGTCAGGTTCACCCTCATTATCAGAAAAAAAACGCTAGTCCACCCAGGCTGCATTCCCTCCAGCTTCATGGGCTGACAGGACGGTGGCCAAGCTTCCCAGGCAGGCATCCTGGGTTCAAGGTCTTGCTCCCCACACTTCTCAACTGTGTAGCCTGGGTGGCCCTGTAACTGCCACCACCTCTATTTCCCCATTGGTCTAATGGGAACAATAATTCTGCCTCCATGGGGTACTCTGAGATTTAAATGAAATAATATTGTGCAGGGGACAGAGGGAAAGAGCAAGGAGGCAGACTCATCCCTTCCCCCTCTGCTCCTCCCTCCCTGTCAGGAGGCTCACACCAGTGTGCATGTGCACACACACCCATGCACACACACACACACACTCCTACTCATCTTCCAAGAATGAGAACACTTCCTGTGTCCCCCTTAAATTCATGTATGAAATCCTAATGCCAGAGTGATGGCATTAGGAGGGGATTAGCTCATGATGGAGGAGTGCCATGGAAGGGATCAGTGCCTTATAAAAGAGACCCCAGAGGGGCTGGGTTGTGGCTCAGTGGTAGAGCATTTGCCCTGCATGCATGAGACATTGGGATCGATCCTCAGCACCACATAAGAATAAATAAATAAAATGAAGATATTGTGTCCATCCACAACTAAAAAAATATTGAGAGAGAGAGAGAGAGAGAGACCCCAGACGGCTTGTTTGCTCATCCACCATGGGAGGAGAGGTGGCTATGGTAAAGATGGCCACCTATGAAGCCAGAGGCAGGTCCTCACCAGACACTGGATCTGTAGGTGGCTTGATCTAGGACTTCCAGACTCCAGACTGTGAGGAATGAATTTCTGTTGCTCGTAAGCCACTTGATCTAGGGAGTTTTGTTATAGCAGCTCACATGGACTAAGACCATACCCTCCTCACAAAGGGACTGAGGAGACTCCACCAGCCCTGGCTCAGGAAGGGTCCAGCTGAGGTACTGCAAAACCTTTGGAGACATAAACTAGGAGGTGGGTTAGGGCGTGGTTAAAAGAGTAAGTCTGAGCCAGGCTTGGTGGTGCAGGTCTGTAATTTCAGCTACTGGGGAGGCTGAGGCAAGAGGATTGCAAGTTTGAGGCCAGCCTCAGTAATATAGCAAGTCCCTGTCTCAAAATAAAAATAAAAAGGGATGGGGATGTAACTCAGTGGTAGAGCATCCCTAGGTTCAATTCTCAGTACCAAAAAGTCATGATGTGTAAAATCACATCATAGTCATAACTACCATGTAAGACTATAATAAAAACTGAATGACATCAGTCACTCATTCGACAGATTCTTCCTGATGATCTGCTCTGGACCAGGACTACCCTGGGCACTGGGCATGTAGTAGTGAGTAGGGGAGGTCCAAGTTCCTACTCACCTGGAACATGCCTTCTAGTGGGAGGGATAAATAACAAACAAACACAGATAGTATCAGTCTGCTCAGGCTGCTATAACAAAATATCTTACACCAGGTAATTTATGAACAACAGAAATTCACTGCTTATCACTGGAAGATGGAAAGCCAAGATGAAGGTAGGTACCAGCAAATTTGGTGTCTAGTGCGGGCCCATACCTCATAGGTAGGACATTCCAGCTGTGTCCTCACATGATGGAAAGAGCAAGGGGATTCACTTGAACCTCTTTTATGAGGGCACTAATCCAATTTGTGAGGGTAGAGCCCTTGTGACTTACTCCCTAGTGGCCTTTCACCCTAATACTGTTGTTTGAGTATTAGGTTTCAACACTGAATTTGGGGGGGCTCCCACATTCAGACCACAGCTGTCAGAGAACAAGTCACAAGTGAGACAGTTGCTTCTATAAAGAAAGAGGAGGCTGGGGAGGGGCAAGTAAGTGCTGGGGAGTTCAAACAGGGAGGCCAGGGCCAGCTGCACCAAGAAGCTAATAGGTAAAGACTGGAAGGCAGAGTGGAGCAGGCTGGGGGGCTCTCCTGGGGGCTCAGCGTGCCAGGCCAGGTCTTGCTGCCCACACTTCACAACTGCGTAGCCTGGGGTTGGCCACAGGTGTGCTCAGAGGGCAGGTGCAGGCAGACTGGACTCTGAATGATAGAGGGATTTGGAGCAGGACAGGGACATGATCTGATCATAGGGAGCCAGGGAGAAGCAGGGATGATCAGGCAGGGGAGGTGGGGAGACTTGGGTCCAGCATGGATGTGTTCTGAAGAGAGTGCCCACAGGGTTTGTTGTGAGTTGGGTGGCGGATGTGACGCAGATAAATTAGTCTACAAGAATGCTGGGGCTTGGGGTCTGAGCCAGGGGTCCCGAAAAGGCTCACTGCAGTGGTATGTGGCAGCCACTGTTCACAGTGAGAGGAGGGGACATGGGACTCACAGCAACCTTCCTGGGGTCGCCACATGAAGAGGCAGGACCACCATGACTCTGTGCCAAGCCCATCAGAGGCGTCTGTGTAGAGCGTCCTTTGTGCACTGGGCCAATGATCTTGAAGATGAATCGCTGGCTGCCACCGAGGGGCCTGGCTCTCCAAACAGAAGCCAGAAAAGGGATCAAAGCCCAGGGGCTGCTGCTCACCTCCCCCACCAAGCCTGTGCTGTCGCAGACTTTGTCTTCCCTGTAAGATGGAAAAGGAAGAAGACATCCCCCGCCTCAGCCCCATGAAATCCCGAGGCTCCCTGAGAGTAGCACACTTGAAAGAGACCGAGGTTATCTGCAAAATTCCAATTAAATCCACAGGCTTTGATAATTTGATAAGCCACTCTGCAGTCGCCCTGGAGTCAAAATATGCTGTTACCAGATCCGTGTTTACATTTCAGGATAGAGCGGGGTCTGCACAGTGGAAATGATTTCTCTCTCTATTGAGAGCCTCTGGTGGGGACTGTAGAGGAGGAAGCTGCCCTGAGGAGAGAGGTGGCCATCAGGTTGGACTTTAGTCAGATATGTGGGAACCCAGCATGATGAGGTGTGCCATCTTGACTGCCAGGCCCAGGGTATCATGACTCCAGTGTATTCTGCCTTTTCTCTCCAAGGCCACTGGGCACTTCCAAGTCTCATGCCTGTCACGTACCCAACCCATGTGTGACTTTGGTAAAACCAGCTGACCTCACCGGGCCACAGTATTCAACTGTGTCAACAGGGCTACTAATGTCAATCATAAAATGCTACAGCTAAAAACAATCTTGGGAATTCTTCATTATTTTTTATGATCCGTACTCAAATCTGTGGCAGCGCCCAGCTCTTCAGCAGGTGGGTTTTCCTCCTGGGCAGAATGTGCGGCCTGTGCCTGCATGTCAGCTGGGAAAATGGTAACCTTAACAGTTACGAGCAATGACCGCTAACCCTGAATGGCACCTGAGCAGCAGGATCGTCACGTTTTCTGCTATTTTGTCTGCTCCTTCTAACAAGTCTGTGAGCTACAAAAGAGTTTTAGGAACACCTACTCCACAAATGTAGACACACCCTCACTTTCCAGCACGAGGGCAAAGAGAAATTAGGAGCAATCTTTGGCAGAAAGGAGCCTGAGGAATAAAAAGTCCCTTGTTCCTTTGACATGCCATTTCTTAGCCGGGTTGGCATTGCTAGCTCCCCCTCAATTGTGTTCCCACATCCTCAGCCTCCCTGGGGTGGCCTCGGCTTTGGCTCAACCTCCCAAGCACATAGGAGAGGCCTGAGCTTCCACTCACTCTTTTGGGGGGTTGACATCCTCAGGTCGGGCCTCGAAGAAACGAAAGACTTCATCACACTGTGAAATGTGGGGAGGGAGCCGGACCAGCGCCTGTGGAAAGATAGAAAGTAATGGCATCAGGTGTGATGAGCTTGGGACAGGAAAACCAGAGTGCCCACATGAGCCAACAGTGATGGGAAGGCTCAAGTACTGTGCCTTGGAAGGCATAGTCACCCAGCCAGTCACCAGCCACCCATCAATCAATGACTTAACTAGCCAACGACTGAAGCTATTATCCATCCATCCATCCATCCGTCCATCTCAATTAAAAATCCAACAAACCAGCCAACTAATTAATCAACTAAACAAACACCTAAATACTCCATGAACCAACTGGACAATAAAAAAGATAATCAGTTAACCAATCAACTATCCAGCCAATAATTCAATCAACCATCCAACCAGCTGAGCAATTAAGCAGCCAACCAAGCAAAACACATTGACACTGAACCCTAGGTCTCAGGGCCCTCGGGGACTGGTCCTTCTGCATGAACCCTGGAGGAATTTTCTCCTGCTCATAGGATAAGCCTGAGCTCCTGAACCCGACAATGTGAGGCCTCGTCTTACCAGGCTGACCTCCCATTAGCCCCTCTCCAGCTGCACTAGATAGCCACGTCCTCTGAATACTGATGGTGCAATTAATTATTTATTGACTGCTACTGAAGACAACAGGGAGCTATGATGGAGTTTGACAGGACCTAAGATGATGGGGGCTTTCAGGAAGGACTCTGTAGCTGAATTCTAAAGCCTGGGAAAAATTGAACTGCCCAAGGTGGGCAGAGTTCAAATGTGAGGGCTCCAGGAATTGGAGGAAGGTTGATGTGGCCTGGGCACACAGAGTGAAGGACAGAAGGTGTGGGGCGCCTGACCTAGAGGGCTCCCTGGCCACACTGGGCATGCCTGGAGGAACAGTGCCCCGCGATGGGGTGAAAGGCTTCCAGCACAGTGGGCCTGGCCTTGGCTGGAGGGATTTGGAGAAGTAGAGAGGAGAGGAGTGGGCACCCCATGGGGAGTGACAGTGAAGGCAAGGGTGTGGCCAGTGTGGGCCAGTCATCCCGGAGGACCAGAGGACCGGGAGGATGAGCCTGCTGCTGGTGTGAGGGGTGGGGCTGTGATCTCAGGTAGTGCTATCCTCCCACAGGTGCTCCACACCTGCAGCAGCCCCGCCAACCCAAAAGCAGCGTGTGGGGGGAGGCCAGGTGTAGCCTTGTTTCCTGGGCCCCTTCCTCCTTTCAGTGTGGGGAGAAATACTGGGGCAAGGAAGGGTCCCTTGGGCCAAAGAGACAGAAGAGATCACTGCCAAAGCAGACCTGAGGGGTGTGTACAAGGGAACCCAGGGCTGGAGACAGTAAAAGAAAGAGAAACCTGGAACTGGAATCCAGGAACATAGGAGTGTGATAAGGAGTCTCCAGGTCCATATGGAAGGACCCCGTCACAGGCCTCTACCTCCCAGGACCCCACACGTCCCTGGAGGGCCTTCAGATGTAATGCCTTTCTCTGGTGGATCCTGTGCTAAGCACGGTGGGCCTCTCTATGTGGCCACCTCATGATGGCTCCCTGGGAGCAAGATTCCCATCCCTGTGTTATAGACGAAGAAACAGAGGCTCAGAGGGCCACGAGGCCTGTCTGCAGGCTCTCAGGGAGAGTGGAAAGACGACACAGGGTTAAACTCCACGTAGGCGGGGATTTTAGTCTGTTCTGTTGATTTTCACCAGGTCCTAGCAGGGTGTCTGCAGCCGAGCAAGCACTCAATGGACATTGTTTAATGAATGAGTGAATGAACGATGGATAAATGATCAGGGCTTTAGTGTGTGAAGCCAGATGCCCAATAGCAGTGGGACATGATGAGGAGGCAAAAATAAATAAATAAAACAAAACACGTGTGGCCTTGGGTGGCACGGGCAGAACCCAGGGGAGGGGAAGCCGTGGCTTGACTCTTGGCAGAGCTGCTCTTCTCCAGTCTGTCACCTAAAGCCACCCAGTCTATCAGGAGGCCCTTCTCAGGGCCAAACTCCCAGCCAGGCAAGACGGGGCAAGACGGGGCAAGGCCACTCTGCAATTCCTCAGACTTTCCTTCTAGAGCCCTGGCTTTCCAAGGGTCCCCAGAGCCCATCATGCCAATGAACTCCCATGTGCCACTTCCACTCATCCGACCACGGCGAGGGCTTTCGGTGTGTGTGGGACGTGGGGCTGTCCCTGCTGTTATAGGGAGGGGAGGGCTAGTCCTGCTCTCCAGATAGCATGGCTAAAGATGTGTCACCACATCTTGTCCTGGAGATTGACGTTCAGGATGGGCACACCGAGGATGTCGGGAGTATGAAGTTATAAATGAGTTAAGCGTCAGAGTCAAGTCCCTTGCTCGGAATACAGGGTGGGTAGACTTTGTCCCCAAAGGGGGCATTTAACCGCACAGGCTGTTTCCTGTTTTCTCCACCAGAAAGGGTAGAAAGAAAAGGAACAGAAAAATTGAGGGAGACAGACAGACAGACATAGAGAGGGAGGGACAAAGAGAACGTGTCAGAGAAGGAAGTCAGGCACATGAGGAGTAAGGGCTCCGGACAGAGGGCAGGAGGCCCCAGGGGGGACCTAAGGGCTGGGACGGGGGTGGGGGGGGGAGCAGTGGGGAACCCATTGCCGGCAAACTGGGCTGTGTACAGGGCAGGACCACAGCTCCCAAAGGCAGAGGGAGGGACGCAGGGCAGGAGAGGGCAGGCTTTGGCTGGCCCAGGGTGCCAGCCAGCCGAGTGCTGCCACCCAGCCTCACAGCTCTGCGTGGTTATGAACAGAGGAGCTCTTCATGCCTGCAGAGAGCAGCGTTCGGGGGCAGAGGACGAGCGTGTGGGCTGTGAGGGCCTCAGACAAAGGAGCCTTTGGGTGGACTGACCGTGGCATCTTTCTTTAAGAGGGAGCCTTGCACGGAGCACTTAAGGGCCTGTCCTGATCTCAGGCTGACAAGAGGCCCTTGGGCCACAGCAGCTTCCTTCAGAGCTGCTGTCAAAGCCAGTTCTGGCCAAGACCATTTGGCAGGAGAGGCTGGTGCTGAGCAGTCTATCAGGGGCTGTGCCAGCAACCACAGCCGAGGCCGGGAAACCTCAAACTCAGACATCCTGAGAAACGCAGGGTGACGGGGCTGGATATATGGGTATTTTCGGTAGTACCATCCCTGGTGTAGGGATAAGGTTCTGCCCGAGACATTCATGAGGTATACTGTGTGGGGGTTTGCTGGCAGACCAGGTTTTGGGGCCTGGCTCTACCATTCATGGGCTGTGTGGTGCCAGATATGTTACTTGCTTTCTCTGAGCTCAGCATAATGGATTCAACAAGGAACCTAGCTGTTAAGAGGTTAAGTGAGATGAGGAATAGGAAGAGCTCAGCACAATGCCTGGCACTAAGTAAACACTCAGTAAATGTTAGTTGTTATGACATTATTGTCACCACCATTCGTTGGGTGAAAAGAGTGTTGTGCATGGGAATGGGAGTCAGAGACCCTAATTCTTGTTCCAATTCTGCAGCTACGGATTTGCTATGAGGCCCTGGGCAGCTCACCTCACCTCTCAGGTTGTCATTTCTTGCAGGTTAAAATACGGTAGCTCTGGAATTCCAAAGTACATCTCATGGAACAATTTGCTTGATGAGGTATAATGAATTCCATTGGCATATGTGAAATGTGGGGGGCCTTGAAGGTCAACCCCACCCCTGTACCCACTGCCATCCTGGCCTTGGAGATCACCATGTTCAGTAACATAGCAAAAAGTGTCTGGGAAGTACTGCAGGAACCTCTTTAGGCCAGTGTTTAGTAACAATAAGGACGTCCTGGGGAATGACTAATTCAATCATCACGTCAATGCTAAGAGTTTTGTTTTTTTTTTTTCCTTTTCTTTCTTTCTTTTTATTATTATTTGTTTTAATAGTCTGGGGATAATTTCAAATTTATAGAAGAAACTCAGGCCCAAAGAGTTTAGTTCCCCAAGGCTATACTCTAAGTATCAAAATTTTGCTTCAGGTATCTGAATCTAGACCCCCTACTCTACTGATAACGCTGCTCACGCCTGCTCTCTTTCCCTCTCTCTCCTCCTCTCACTCTCCCTCCCTCTGGTACAGGAAATTGAACCCAGAGGGGTTTAACCCCTGAGCCACATCCCCAGCCCTTTTGATTTTGAGACAGGATCTCTCTAAGTGCTTAGGGCCTCATTTAGTTGCTGAGGCTGGCTTTGAACTCACAATCCTCCTACTTCAGCCTCCCAAGCCTCTGGGATTCCAGGCATGCACCACAGTGCCCAGCTGACACATGCTCTCTACTGCCTCAACATTACTCATGGGGATCTGACTGTGGAGCTGGAACTGCTCCTGGTGACGCCTCATGGAACACAACTGGGGCCAACCCAGATCAGACACATCCTGAAGGTCCTCCTAGTGTTAACAGGCTGTGGCACTAAGGCTATGCACAGCCCCATTATCAGTGAGTTCAACTGCATGATCTGTCAATCAATCTGATTGAAACTTTCTAACAGGGCTCTGACTCAGGTGAGGTCAGAGGGTCCCGAAGGCCCTGAGTTGCAGAAGGGCCAGAATGAACCTGACCTCACACCCTCAGCTCCTGGGTAGGGAGCAGGACCCTGTGGGGCTTCTAAGTATGTGCGTCCCTGCAGGATGCTGGCTGAGCTAACTCCAGTCCTTTCCAGTCCTGCCATTCTGAGATCTGGGCTGGGGAGGTGGCTAATACCAGGTCAGGAGAAACGGGGAAGGGCTGTGGGTGGCGGGTGCCTAGTTTGGGCAGACTGATAAAGAGGCACAAGAGAGCCATCCAGGTTTGCTGTCAGCTACTTTTGCTGCCAGAGCCCCCCCTTTCCAGTCCTGAACTGCCCTAAAGTCTCCAGTTCTTGCCCCCTCAAAACCATTTTCTTAGCAGCAGGTGTCATCAGGCCCATCATGGTGCAGGTTTGGAGGGTGGGGAGCGGGGGTTACGTGATGTGTCTCTGAGACCTCTGCACAGATACAGGAAGCAAAACTCTAGTCTTTGGAAATGCAAGCGGCATGGGAAGGGGCCTGGCTGACGGCTCAGTCCTTGGCTCCCTTGAAGCTCAGCTCTTTAGGTAATGTCTGTCCCAGGGTAAAAGACAAAGTTCTGTATTTGGCAAAACAACCATGGGTGTCCTGCTCTTTACACAAGATCAGGCATTACCCTCTTTCTAGAAGTGCCAGTTGCCAATCAACAGAAATCTTACAGGTAAAAGGTAGACTGCACTCCAGGCCTTGGGGCTGCCTCTGACCTGCCCAGGCTGTTCTTCCCAGGTCACTACCTGGAAAGCTGGGGTCTCATGGAACTTCTGTAAGCCACAGTATTTCAAATGCAAGAGTCTCTTTCGAGGACCTAGCAGCCCCTCCTTTTCAAATGTCAATCATATCTATTTCTTGGTAGCAGTTTAAGCTGTTTCCCAAGGGATCCCAGGACACTGGGGCCTGGAAGAGGTGTCATCCTCTGAGGAATTTTCTCTCCTGGGACCTTTTCATCTTGTCAGCAGATGCTGTCACTGGGGGCCACACTTCCTGCTTGCTAGTGAAGACAGGAGGATAACAGATGTGCCCCCCCACCCAGGAGCTTCTTATCTGGGAAGAGGTCAAGGGGAAGTTACCGTCCTGCAGAGGACAGATGTGCAGAGCAGAGGCATGCAGAGTGCTCAGCTTCCCTGGGAGACACGAGGCATCTCTAAGGGGCCACTATGGAAGCTGCATGTGTCCCTAGGAAGCAAATTAGCTCAGGCCAAGGGGCAGAGCCCTGGCTAGCTGGAAACAGCCTGCTCAGGTCTGGCTGACTGGACTGCAGCTGTGGGGGAGAGGCAGGAGTTGGGGCTGGAGCAGTTCTTGGAGGCTGCCCCCAGAGGGCCTGGCTGAGACACTTAGCCATTCTCGGTGGCAGTGGGACTCCTCCAAGGGCCTCTAAGGAGAACAGGAACTGGATTAGCTTTCTCCTAGGCTAAAAACACCTTTCCTGGGTCTGTTGGGGAGATGGAGAAATTCTACTGATCAGGGTCCCCCAAGGACAAGACCACTCAGGAGGTATGAATGGTCACTTCACGGAAGATGTGTCATCCTCAGGAATTTTCTCTCTTTATCAGTCTGCCCAACTTAGAAATCCTCAGCCTACCATGCCTCAGTCTCTCCCACCAGCAGCACTCCTGGCCCAGGTCCTCCCTCAGAACAAGGACCACAAGATCAAGATTACCCTCCCCAAGGGAACAGCCAATGATGGGCCAGGGATAATACTTGGGACTAGGATTCACCAGTATGTAACAATCTCAGTTTCCAATCTGGGAAGTGGGGATAAAGTGAGTCTGGGAGACGAATGAGGGCCAGGGGATCTGTGACCTTCAATCTGACCTCTTGGTGGGCTCATAATTCCTGTCCCCCATTCCTTCATCCCTGAAATCAAGTGTGTTGTGGACAGAAGAATCAGAGAAATAAACTCAGCTACTGGGGCAGCAAAAAAGTCATAGTCACACACACCAGAAAATGCAGATTTGCATAAATGGCACCAATATGTCAAAGGTGAGTTGACCATTCTCGAACACTCTCCTTCACACACATACTTTCCACTAGGATACTCATTTTATTCCCTGGACAAACACTGCAAACATGTATGTCCCCTGAAGGAACAGGGTAAATGGAGTCACAGTCAAAATTGGTAGTCTGAGCTTCTATATAGCTCATGCTTGTTTAGTTAAATGAAAGTCTTCACTTTGTTGCTATCCCCAGAACCATTAAATAGTAACCGCACAACCATGTTGCCCATTAAATTAATTTACAGAGTTAAAGAAATGCCTTTGGAACCCCTCTTGTTAGACATCTGGCCCTTAAGTGCCACATAAAAACAATCATCAGGCTGGAGCTTGGTAAATTTTCCATGATGCTCATCCAATCTGCTTCATATATGTTCAAAATCAACACTGAGATTTGGGTTATGAAACCACCCTTAGAGGAGGGACTAGCTGGCTGGTGAGGGCAGAGAGCCCAAAGTCTGGGGAGTTCCTCTGCATGGTCAGACTTTTCACATCTGCCTGCTCCTTATGCAGGGCTCATAATTTTGGGTGCATTTGAATTCCCACCAAATCCCAGACTCTGAGCCCACGTTGTCTCACAGGCCCAAGGAAGAAGATGCTTGCTAGCCACGCAGAGCTGGATATGCAGGGAGCTGGAAATAAGGACTCTAGAGACTCCAGGCAGCATGCATCTAAGGACAAAGGAAGGGCTGGCATAGAATACGCTGCACGTGGCACTGGCCATGAAGTTGGCTGTGGTGGGCAGTAAAACTCAGTGGTCATAGATTGGACCATCTTGGGGGCAGAGCTGTGAAATATGCAACTCTGGGTGGCAGTGGCCATGGACAGCTGCTGGCTTCTCCCCACTGACTGTTCCCGGGTCAGGGGTTTCTCAGACAATCAGACCACAGATCCCAGCTTCTCAGTTCAGCAGAATTTAAAGGTCAGTCTGCCTTGTCCCCTCTCCACTGCATTCTCAGAGTGAATTCCTGCCTGTGAGAGGCTGTCTGCCTGGCAAACCCCTGACACTGTTCATGGTCTGGCTCAGAGCAGTTCTCAACTGTGCTAGTCGGGTGGGGAGGACCCCCTCGGTTGGCTCCCCCAGCCACCAGCAGCACGTTAGAGCCCCAGACACCCTCTGAATCAGGAGTCCCATTCAAAGCCTGATCCTAAGAGATAAGATGCTATCAGTTTCCTCCTCTGGCTGGTCCAGGAGACACATTTCCATAGAGCCCAACTGCAGAGGCCTCTGGCTCCCCAGCTCAGAGAGACTGAGACTGATTTGAGCCATAAATCCCAGCTGGAAAAGGCTTCCTCCCGCCCTTTGCCCCCTCCTCCATTAGCTCTGCCCATCTATTTAACTTCCCGGGAAAGGAATAAAGCTCAGGCTGAGGCATCAATTAAGCAGAAACAGTGCATGCTCTTTAAAGAAAAAAAATGAATATTGATCTGAAGAAGAGGGAATCTAGCTCAGGGGAATTCACCCTCCGGGCATCCTTTTAGGACAAGGCAGAACATGTGACCCAAGTTTAATGTGCACAAAATTCAAATTCTGGTTTAATGAAATTGTTTGGGAGCACTTGTCTTCCTAGAGGCTTGGGAACGACAGTTAATAAATTCAGCAACTTGGTTCTTATTTAAACATTTATTGCCAGGCATAATGATTCAGAATTATAAAATGTCAGAGTAGAAGGGGACCTTACAGGTAACAGTTCTGTGTAAGGACAGGGCATTTCAGGAGTCGAAATGGTGTGCTGTGCCTCCTCCCCCCTCAACCCTGTGAGACAGGATCTCTATCCTCATTTTTTCAGATGAGGAAATTGGGGCTAAAAGAGATAAAGCAACTGTACCAGGTCACACAGCTCTTGAGTGGGGCCCTGGGATCCAACTGCAGCTCTTCTCGTGTTAATGACCACATTTGGAACAAAACATTATGCCACACTTGCTTCCCTAATATTTTTAAGTCAAATTCCACAAAACAAAATTGTTTCTGTTAAAGCCAGTGGGATTCAGAAGTAACATTATTTAATGCTTGCTTTTTATTGGTTTGTTTTTATTTGCTTTTGTTTTCTTTAATTTTTTTTTTTCACCACTGGGCTCAAACCCAGGGTCTTACATATGCTGGTCAAGTGTTCTACCACTGAACTAAACCCCAGCCCTTTATTTACTTTTTTTTTTCTTTTTGCAGTGCTAGGGATTGAACCCAGGGGTACTGAGCTATGTCCCCAGCCCTTTTTATTTGAGTCAGGGTCTCACTAAATTGCTCAGACTGGCCTTGAACTTGTGATCTTCCTGCCTTAGCCTCCCAAATTGCAAAGATTACAGGTGTGTTCCACCATGCCCGGCCCTTTATATGCTTTTAATAAAGTTTTTTTTTTTTTTAATTTGCAAATAAAATGCTTGTGCCTTGTAATAACAAAATCATCTACTAAAAGCTTCCTCTGAGCTAAACAGTAGGCCTGATGATTGCCAGCTCATTCCATCTCCATGGTTACCCTCTCTGCAAGAGGGACAATTCTCCTTCCTACTGACATGGAAACTGAGACTCAAGAAGTTAAGTAAATTGCCCAAGTTCATAAAACTAGCCAGATGTTTGAACCCAGGCAGTTTGGCCATCCAGAGGTCATGTGCCAAGGACATGAAGTAGCCTCCCATCCTCACTGCAGGGGTCCTAGGCTCTAATCAAAGCAGAAGGACAAATGGGCTCTGGCTCATGACATTGCTGTCACTCTCCTGTCTACTCTTTGATAATGGTTGCTCTAGTTATGCACAAGTGTGTGTATGCAAGCTGGCTGCTGCCAGCTGTGCGAGTGTGTGAGACAGAGAAAGAGAGAAAGAGAGAGAGAGAGAGAGAGAGAGAGAGAGAGAGAGAGAGAGCGCGCATTTGCATCTATAAAGATGTGTAATGAACATTGGCATCTATAAAGCTTATGTGAATAAACAAATGTGTATTCCAGATGCCACCAAACTCAGAGCTGACTCCACAACATCCCAAAAGGAATTCAAAGAAACAATTGTCCATGTCCAGCAAAATGCCACACGCAAATCCCTTCAGCAGGAGGCCTCTCATGTAGGTCCCAAGCCAGTGGAAGTGATTTAAAACAGCACTTTGTAAACATGGCTGTGTTCTGAAAGGATAGTGACCCCTCCTGGTGGGCCACCCACTTCCATCCTACTGGCCAAGCAAAGCCAGGCCTCAGAAGTGTTTGTACAGAGAGCCTCCTTCACAGACAGACAGCCCCTCAGGCAGAGGGTCCACCCCCACTCCCAGACACACCCTTACCCGGCAGTATTCGTCGATGGGCTTCAGCCTCTTCACAGCTACATCCCGGATGTGGCTTCTCCGGAAGAGGATCTTGCCTGGAAGAGAGACGCTCGTGAGCCAGACATTCTGGCTAAAGCCATCATAGGATCTTTTCATTTCCCTCCCCCTTGTCGAGGAAACAAGAGGAGTGGTCACCTCTCCTGGGGGGCAGGAGGCAATCAAGGCTGAGAGCCCAGGGCCTCTCCCTGGAGGCTGCCATCTTGGGCTTCAACGAACAACTTGGTCAAGTCACCTTGACTGGGTCTAATGGTAGGATCAATGCCTGACATGGGTGTGGCTTCTAAATGACCTCACAAATAAATATAAAGTATGGCCCAACCCACACGCTATGTTTTGTTTTCAGACCCATCCCTCCTTGAGAAATCGACATACATTTCTGCCAACTGGGCAGGAATTTCTATTCTTAGTGTAGGTGGGTGGCTATTTCCAGGGCGGGCACAAGCCATGGCTGCCCCAGTGTGACTATTGCCTGGGCTTTCTGTACACACAGCCTCCAGCCATTCGGGCTGCTGCCAGCTGTGTTGGTACATCTTTCTACAGGTATGGACAAGGCTTACAGGAAGTGCCACCCGTCAGACCTTTCCAGCAGGTCCTTCTGCCCTGGCCACATTCAATCATGATAAATACATTGGTGCACAATCCTTTTCCAGACTGCTAAATTCAGAACCTTAACTCTGACAGTCAAGGTCTTATACAACTGACACTTCTGTGCCCAGCGGCCCAGTGGGCTAGGACCAACGTCCTTTTTCAGAAAAGCCTCCTTGATGGTTGAGCTTTCTCTTTCCAGAACATCCACAATACGCCCATTCCTGGGGCACTGGCCATACTGTACTGTATTTTATAGCACTGGTGACCCATGGTAGGTCCAGCAAGCCCAGCACGTGGTGGAAGTGCTGACCTGGAGCTTCAACATGCATCTGTTGTCCCAATCTGGGCAAGGCCACTTCCATTCTTAGCCCTTGGGATGCCAATGGAGCTAATCACATGCCAATGGCAAACGGTGCATGTGACTCAGCTTAGTAACCAGTGATTGGCCTAGGGATGGGCACCCCTGATACGGGCCAATGAGGGTAAGCCCTGAGACTTCCTTCTTCCACAGTTGCTAAGCCCCTGAATGAAAGGCTAGTGCCTCTAGTAGCTGAGTTTATTATTTCCTGAGAAGAAAACAAAATGAGAAAAAGGAATTGTGCCTATCACAGGTAGGTGCTCAATAATTGCTTCTTGAATGATTGAAAAATCAAAGGCAAGAAATGACCAGGGCCAGATTCCTTTGATATCATTTCAGCAGCTGGATATAGCTGTTCCTGGACCTCGGATCATCCCGCTACTTGTCACTTGTGTAAAGCAAAAAAAAAACAAAAACTTTTTTATTTAAACTAGTTGGAGATAAAGTTTCATCACTTTATTTGAAGGGCTCCTAATTAAGATCATTCCCACTGCATGTGAACAAATATTCCACTGCATGTTAATTCACTCAAGCTTCTTCTGCCAAGGACCAAGTGAAGTACTAAGAAAGGCAATGACCTTAGTTCAGGCTGTTCGCATGGAAGCAGCCCTAGAAATAAGAATTTGAATCTAGTGGATTATGTGGGAGGCCATCCACGGAGGCATCATTAGGGGAGAGGGAGAATAAGGCAGAAGGTAGAGAGATCAAGAGTTATCTCCAAGGGCTGGAGCTCCGTTCTATTGGGCAACTCCAGGGGACACACCTCAGGGGCATCCCTGCAGAGGCTGGGGAGTCTGTGGAGGCTAGGGAGGCTGGGGAAGCTGGGGTAACCAGCCACCAACTTCCTGCTTGTCATTGAGGGCTTCTTTTGAGGGCATTAATTCTAGCATCTCTGGCTAAGTGTGCTCCCATGGGTGCTGGTACTTCTTATAAGGAGTCTGTGGCAGGCAGAAGGGAACAGAGAGGACATGGAGACATGAAGCAATTGCTGCAACCATCCCTGATTTCCCTGTCACCACGTGACATGGCTCCTTGACCACTGAGCTGCACAACCAACCTGCTAATCTTGCTGGGAAGTGGCAGTGGAGCAGCAGGCCAGGAGGGCTAGAGCATGGGCTACCAGCACAGGCCCTGGCCGCTAGGAGCCTGCCATGCCACCATGGGCCTGAAGTATGGTGAGCCAGGGCTGAGGCAAACCAGGGCCCACTGACGGGTCACCCTGCAGCAGCCAGACTGGGCCTGGTGCAGAGGCCTGCTCCATCCAGTACGCAGCCTGGAACCTCCAAGCATCTACCATCAGATGACCTTAACCTCCCACTTCCAAACAAGCAGTGGAAAACCCAAGTGGGGCAGACCAGAATGGAGACTGCAGGTGCTAACCAACAGCACTGATACTTTCCCAAACCCTGATTAGCAGAAATTTGGACCAATAGCATTGACCCGAGTGCTATATAAACCTCTAGACTAGCACACGCAAGTGGCAACCTGCTATCAGATCCCCTCTCACCCGGTGGGAGCTCTGTTTCTATTCACACTTGAATAAATCCTGGTCAGACAAGAACCCAGAAAGAAGTTGGTGGTGAGCTGCTGGGGCCTGCTGCATCACTGGAAGGCCTAGCCTGCCATAAAGAACTGTAACACATCACTCAATGGTAGTGGAAAATAAATGGGCTAACGGGCCTTCTCAGCTGTAGAGGCCTGTAGCTTATGCAGACCCCACCTGAAGAAGCAGAGAAACTCTGGTTTCCACAGTACTGGTAACAAGCCTTGCGTAGGTCAGACAGTGGAACCCATAAGCATGTCATAGCATGTGTGACTTGCTTCCTGCTTGAAGCCTTTGGTTTTCCATTCAAAGTCTGGCCTCCAGCTCAGGCTCTGTGTGCCCCACATGTTCCACCTGGCAGGGGCCTTGGAATAGAGCCGATGCTCGGTAAGTGCACACTGGCTCACTTCCTGCTTGGGCCTCTTCCCGAGCTCTCCTTCCTCTGGGCTCTCTAGAGTCAGTGCACAGGTTATCTGTGTAGATGGCACCATGTCACCAAGACAAAGCACTCTGCCACATGCTCCTTTGGAAAGGAGATAAAAGGTGATGTCTCAAGACACTGGTGATGGCTGCTTTTCATAGGGGAAGATGTCACAGACCTGGTATTCCTTGCCTCTTTGCCTCCTGCTCTTTTTTGGTTTCCTGTTGCTTTACTGCCCACGTGCCGCAGAGCCTGTGTGTGCAGCTATGGGGACACTGTGAACATAAGCATGTGGCCTGAGCAGACCAGCTCTCTGGACTGACAAAATGACAGGCAGCCAGGACTAGCCTTCCACCCGAGTCAGCTGTCCGTCAGGAGCTGGAGGTGGCCCAGACCCAGCTGACACCAGTCATCAAGGGGTATGAAGGAGCATCTGAGGACCGGAGGAAACCACAGGGGAGGAAGCCTCATCCTCATCCCACCCACAGTCAAAAAGGAAAGGAGGGAGATGGGGAGACACACTGGGTCCCCCTCCCAGCCCCCACCCCAAAGCTGGTCGCACCCCTAGATGAGCCTTGTATCCTGAAGAAGTAGATGTTGCTCTTTATTTAACAGCAGAGACAGATCCAAAAAACAGGGAAGGAACACTCAGGCCCCCAGAAGAGAGGGATGGGCAAGGTGGGCAGGAGGCAGGAGGCTCCCCTTGACTCCTTGTCACGCTGGCCCTGGAGCATGGGACCCCTTTGCCCTTTGCATCTACTCATGCAAGCAAGGCCACCTTGCCACCAGCATGTCCAGTCCCCTCAACAAGCTCATGGTCTGCTGCTTGGGTGTGAAGTCGGAGGAGAATTTTTGCACAAGCCAAATCCCCATGTGTGTTTCAGGTCCCCACTGGACTACCCTCTTTGCTGCCGAAACCCTGACAGGAGCAACACTTCCTTCTCTTGGGGCTTTGGCACAGTCAGCCAGTGGGGAATGAGGGAGGGAGGGAGGAAGGGGGAGGGATTCCACGGTCTTGACTTCTCTGGAGGAATCCAAACCACACTCTGAAAGCCGAACGGGTGACCATATTAAAAGGGAGAGAGAAAAAGGGGGTGGAGGAAAATCCCCATTAAGGAAACCGAGACCACAGGGCAGTAAAGGCCTCTTGTAAATGTAATTCAGCCTCTTTATGGCGGCGCTCTGCTTCTGCCAGAGTCTTCAAAGCCCTGCGGATGCTGCCCCAGAAATCTGATAAGAATCATAAGGCAGATCACACGTGGCCTGAAACAGACCCGGCTCAGCCTTAAATAGACCTAACTTGCTCCTGAAAGTAGAGAAAGAAAGCTGGAGCCTGCAGTCTGCAGGCATGCCTGCCACTCAGGGCCAGGCGTGGACGAACAGGCGGCCCTGGGCAAGGGGCCTGGGTCCAAGTCCTGCCTGTGCATGTTCCACCAACAAGCTGGCACCCAGGGGTGCAGCCTCCCGTGGCTGTGTGGCTGTCTGGTACTTTTACTAGGTCCATCTTGTACAGGAGGAGATGGCAGCTCAGAGAGATGGCTGAGTTGGGATTTCACCTCGGGGTTTTGAGCTTGGAGAATGAGGGTAAGAGTGTTGGCAATGAATCCAGAGGGTTCTACGGGCTCAGGCCATATAAGGTCTTTCGAACCATGATGTGAGGACTCTGGGTTTCACGCGTGTGTGAGGGAAGATGAGAACAGTTAACCCCCTGGGCCAACCACAGCCTCTAGGTACAAAGTGAAATCTATGGTCCTCCATGAGAATCTGGGGGTCAGATTCTGCAACCATCCCTGATTTCCCTGGAAGAGCAGAAGCACAGCACAGACAGGCCCACTCCAGCTATGAAGAGTTCGGAAGCCACCTCCACGGACTAGGTGCATGTTCTACAAACAAGCTAGCACCCAGGTGTGCAGGGGCCATGGGGCACACTGGCTGCAGGGGTGATGAGAGAACCCCTTGTGGCCTGAACAGGCTGATCTATTCCCGGTAGCCTCTCCTCGTCAAGATACACAGTGTCAGCCAGGCGTGGTGGTGCACACCTGCAGTCCCAGCTGCTCAGGACACTGAGGCAGGAGGATGGCTTGAGCCCGGACATTCTAGGCTAGGCTGGTCAACATAGCAAGAC